CTAAATACTTAAATACATAAGCCGTTTTAACTCAATAAAACACGAAATAGTTCAGAACATTTTCTACTTTGAAATTGAAATACGATACGAACGTTTTAAGTGATCAAAAGTTCTTGCTCTATATTTTAAGTTGACGCAGCTTTGTAGGGGGAGTATAAAAATTACGTTGTCGGTCCGTCTTCGTTGTCCGGGAACCAATATTGTGACCATATAATATCAACAACCATTTTTTATAACGTTCCTTTTGTTTCATTAATTTCTATTATTCACCAATAGAACAATCTTACTAATATTATAAATGCGAAAGTTTAGATGGATGGATGGATGGATGGATGTTTGTTAGCGTTTGTAGCGTAAACGGTTGAACGGATCTCCTTGATATTTGGCACAGGTTTAGAGCATAGTCTGGAAGAACACATAGGCTACTTTTTATCCCGGGAATAGTTACGATTCCCGTGGGAATTATTAATTTAGTTTTTTAATGTTTACTCGATCATTCTGCAACGGTTCAAAATATCTTTGTGAAATTTGGCACAGATATAAAACAAAGTCTGGAGTACACATGGTATAAGCTTCATCCCCGAGAAATTTTCGGTTCCCGAGGGATACGTAGCTTTTTGTAATTAATGTAGGTTGTATGTTTTCTAATACCACGCGGACGAAGTCGCGGGCAACAGCTCGTATTTAATAAAACACGGTTTTTTCTTTTTAGAAGTCGTGAGTTCGAATCCCAGTAGTTGACTGTTGTGTAAAAAAAATATTTTTAAATCCCGTAGGTATAGAATATTTGTCCGTTAACAAATGCGAGCATTGTCACCGGGGTATCATCGAAGCGTGGCACCTCTCCCTGCCGGGTTCAGATAACGATTTAATAGTTGCATGGGTAATAAAAAGGTTCAGAAATTGGTCACAATTACATTGGTTACAGGCTCGTAACATTTTAATAGCACGCTCACATACCTTGTGGGAAACAAAACTATCTGCTGGACGTACGTGGGACGTTCTACGAGTAATTTAAAACTATAGACAGATAAGAATCTTGTCCTTAAGTAACGGTAAGGGTTTATTTCAAGTACATTTTTAAAGTTTGTCGCTCAATATATTTTAACTCTGAATCCTATCTATCTTAGGTCGTTTATTTTTTAAAGTAGCAAGCAATTAACTATATAAGACAATTTATTAATATTACCATTACATGTTATTCCATATCTTCAAATTATTGTATGAATATGAGACATATTGTACTCAAAAAAATGAATATTTACTATCATACAAACATCTGCATTTATTACTAATGTTGTCAGGTTCAACACAATAAAATTTTCCAAAGAAACTTGTAAGGAAACCATTAAAAATAGTACGTTACGGATATATGAGACATAACAGGTGCGAACAATATTTCATAAAGTTAATTTAAAAAACCATAGACACAAACAAGAGCGACGTAAGACCGGAAATTAAAAATAGTTTTTATAGGTGCAACGGATCATAGTCGGACGATGCACCGGATTTCTAGAAAGCGGCACAGCTTACCTTACGCAACTCCTTTGAGCATATTAGTTTGTAATGCGCTTTCATAGTTTATTTACACTTTCTTTCTCAATTGCAACCATTACGCGAACGCATCAGTCTTCACGCCTTTGTTGTTACATGTTATAAATTGGATATATCAGAAAGTGTAACTTAAAAATGCAAACCAAATCAGCTACTCAAGAAAACTTGTACATTGTAAAAGTCTAGGAAAAAAATAAGCCTAACAGACTGTTGGAGGAATTTGGAATTTTCGAGAAAACTGATCAAGTCTATTAGGCTACTAAAGATAGAATTAAAACCAATAAGAAAACTCACTTAGAGTCACCGCACCATTCAGTATTCGTTCCAGAAACATCTATCATTCGTCATGTTAAACGTTACTAGAACTACCTCTTGCGGCGTACTTCTCCACAAACATAATTAAAGACATTGTATCATAGGATTCTTCTTATTAATAACACGCTAACCTTTTACTTCTTCGTTTCTCTACCAGACTTCCTTTAATACTAATTTCATATCTTATCCATTTTGTAACATGCATTTTCATACTAATTTTATAAAGAGGAAAGATTTGTGTTTAAATTTTTATGTATTGAAAATAACTCATAAACTACTGGGCCGATTTCAAAGATTCTCTCACCATTATAAGTACCTGAGTAATATAGGCTACATTTTTTATATTTTTTTATTTCACGTGGAGCAACAACTATGGTACTTTATAAATACAAATCCAATTTCATTAAATATACATTCTTAGATATATGGACAACTTCAAAATTGTAAATAATTAACCATTAGTATTTACGTGTATCTATCGAGGCGTTTTCCTGCATGTGGTACACGCAAGTGCAAGGCTCTCAGCTCACGGTCGTGCACAGCTGCTGTGGTTAATTAACGATGTAATCACTTTCTGCATCCGTTTCATATCGATACCGCTTTAAAACGTTAGATATTAAAATTGCACACACTGTTAACATATATTGTTGTCTCTGTTTATTGCTAAGGGAATGTAAGAGATGAATTTAAATTAATACGAGTGATTACCGTTATAAAACTTTAGTATTAACTTATCGTATAAAGTATACCATCTTAGTAACGTTATAAATTCAAAAGTTTATATAAGTGGTTGTCCATCCACGAATGTTAATGTTATGCGACGAAATGATGGGGACATAAACCAGAAAGTGTTAAGACTGAATGTGGATGACAACAAAGGAAGAGGAAGACCGAAGAAAGTATGGATGGATTGTGTGAAAGAGGATATGCTTAAGAAAGGCGTGGATTCAGATATGACGGCTGATAGAGATGTATGGAAGAGCAGCACATACTGTGCCGACCCTCCGTAAGGGATAAGGGCAAGTTGATGATGATATAGGTGGATGGGTATTTGTTAAACTAATAGATGTAAATAGATTAAAAAAAATGAAATAACATACTAATAATAATAATACTAATGTTAGTCGATGTCACTATCCCACATGACGAGAATCTCGTGAAAGCCGAAAATGAAAAGCTATTAAAATATTTGGATTTGGCTCACGAGATTACCGCCATGTCGCGTATGAAATCGACTACCATTATTCCGATAGTCGTTTCGGCACAAGGGCTGATAGCGAAGAGCTTCGACCAACACCTCAAGAAGCTCTCGCTAGACAGTTGGATTAAGGGCCCGATTCAAAAGGCGGTTATTTTAGAAACCGCACGACTAGTGAGGAGGTTCCTGTCTCTGCAGCCCTGACCACTGGTTGCTTGAGTCATCAGATTCCGCAGCCGGTGGTGCTCTATTTTTTTATATAATATGTTTTATTTTGTTATTTTTTTAAGAAAATCATGTGAAATATATTATATATAAAAATAAGAAAATAAAGATATGAGATTATAATAATAATAATAATAATTTATTACTCAAAATCATACATATTTTACAAGTAGATTTCTGGTGCTGGGACATTCTTGTAAGTAAGTTATTTACTTGTGACAGAATGTCCCGTTCTTCCATAGCATACATTACATTTTGCTTATATCTAACTACATTTTAAAGATTTTTTTCTATTATATATTCTAACAAATAGTATACTATACTATTAATACTTTGTGTGTATAAAACATTTGAAAAAAAAAATAGGAAACGTTTTATTTTCCTTTGTGAATAACATTGGAGAGCGTCGATTGCGATGCCTTTCTTAACGCTCAATTCAAAGCTCTCCGTATAGCTAATCATGATTAAACGAGTATACGAGTAAAATAATTGCGCATTAAAAAGTTAACTTTAAAACTCCCAACACAACAAAAGCTATAAATGTACATATTCCGTTTTTTTTTCGCGCAATATCATCATATGCAATTTGGCATCTCCGTTGCCATGGCAACCGGCTGCAAATTTTACAACCCCATTTACATTTGTGCGGTTGCAATTAATTTTTAAAAAATTCTTAAAACAAGTACCGATAAATTAGTTGATTTTTTTTCATACACGTTATTAAAAAAAGAAGAAAAAATCACAAATATAGAAATTGAATATGTGATGCAGGACTTTGAATAATAGAAACGCTCGCTTTTAAGGGTTCTTAGTCGTACTTATTAAATACTGTCGAAGGGAGAAGGTTTCAGAAGACTGCAGTGCAATGTTACTAATATTTTAAATGCAAAAGTTTAGATGGATGGATGTTTGTTAGAGTTTGTAGCCTAAACAGCTGATCGGATTTTGATGAAATTTGGTATAGATATAGAGGATATTCTGAAAGAACACATAGACTACTGACTTATGTTTTCTTTTCATGCGGACGGAGTCGCGGGCAAAAGCTAGTTAGACAATAAATTTGTGTTTATAAAATATACTCGTAGTAGAAATGGTTCATCGCAGCTAGTGACAGTTTAAAAGGGATTTACCTGGTCGAAAAGGGATGTGTTAGATCATTTTGACGTTTCGCGATGGTATATGTACATATATTTTAAACATGCGTAGATTTCTACCAATGCCAGTATAAAATCGTCACCATCTCATCAGCAGCTCACTATAATTCCTCACCGAGGGGCTCGAATCTTACCCTAAAGCAAGGGGTGACTAGGCCATAGTCAACCACGCTGGCCAAGTGCGGGTTGGTCGGTTGACGTGCAGGTTGCATCACGATGTTTTCGTTCACCGTAAGAACGTCGGGTAAATTATGTACATATGAAAATGCCAAAAATCGAAAATAACATTGGTAGATGGCGGGATTCGAACCCAAGACCTGTAGATTACAAGTAAAGTTAAACCACTGAGCCACCGACGCTCCTTGTAGTATACAATGTCTAGGCGTAAATAAGTGCATTGTGCTTGTATACTGCACACACGTTGTAATCGTTGTATTCTTTCAGGCGTAAAAATTAATGTTATAAATGAACAAGCGCATCACCGACGATTACCATACTAACATCAAGTCTAGTGAAGTTTTGACTGGTGCAGTTATTACATAGTGTTAAATCTATCTTCGCCACTGTTACGGCTGACGGCCATGGATTGGTGGAAATTGGTCGGTATTTTTAAACGAGATTTTTATATGTGGTATTGTGACAGTGAATAAGTGATCTTTTGTGTAAATAGTGTTTATCAATATTATAGGACTGTGGTGAAGGGAACTTTTAAAAGTAGTAGCGAATACTATTTTAATTCGGTAAAGGTACAAACGACGGGGTACAGGTACATGTAATCTGCATGTCTATAGTTTGAATCCTTGCATGTAACAATGTTTTACGATTTATGGATTTTATATGCATATTTTACCTAAGGTTCTTACGGTGAAGGAAAACATCGTGTTACAACCTACGCATATTTGCGAAGACATTAAAAATATATGATTGACTAGGGCCTAATCAAACCTAATATAGGGTAGGCTCTGAGCCAGATTTGGCTCGACAGTTAACCATCCCGTTCTTTTTTTTAATTATTTCTTACTTAATTTAATAACAGTCATTAATAATAGTGAATGCATGGTTATTAAATTTTAAAAGTCTTTTTAAAATTCAATGCAATATATCGAGAAAAATTAGAATTATAAGTCATTCATAATTACATTGACTTTAGACATTTTAAATAAATAAATAAAAAACAGAATAAAAATCAACGTAGGATTACGTGCTCAAAGCTACGAAGCTCTTTTAAGAGAAATGTCTGTACATATTTTCGTTTCTTTAATTGTTTATTATGTTTTTGATTATTATTGGAACATTACAAATTCATATCATTTTTTTTCTCGTTGTATTTTTCATAACTAAGTTCAATAAAAATAACTTAGATACGTCTAAAAGTTAAATAATTCTAACTACATTATAGTGAAGCAACGTGATTTCTGTAAAATTAAATTTATTTTTACATAGAAGGAGAGGAGTGGCGTAGTTTTTGTATATGTGTTTTAGAGATGAAAATTCAAAATAGTTGACGGTGATGTTTTTATCTTTTTGCTAATGAGCATGTAGCAAAAGTAGCCAAAAGAAATCTGTACTCTGCTAGCTGTAATAAGTAACTAGTAGCATGGTATCTTATTGGGATGGAAGAGTTGTATGTGACAGAGAATGGTAGGTGATTATGAAAAGAGTAAAAAGCGAGTGTACCATTTTCTCAAAAGCCAGCGTCGCGTCTGTTCCTTGTAGTGTTGCTGATGTCTTTGGGCATTGTAGATCTCGGTGTTGCCGCTGTACGTATGACATTATAAATAGGGCAGTATGTATGGGATATTGTGATTGCTATAAAGATGGAGTGACTACTGAGAAGACCGTTTATGAAATTTCTAAGAGGCTTGATAAGAAAATGTCCTCACTTCAAGTGTTGCACACTACGCGTTACTGACAATACACTGTTCAAAAATCTATTGTTATCTCTTTTTTTCAAACGTATTAAATGGGATTAAAACATTTTTTGTACAAATATGTGAAAAGGTGACTTCAATGATAGTGGGGTATTTAACGGAGATAACTAAATAGGGGATTATAAGGTTTACACATTGTTTTATGTATGGAAATGTTTTGTTACAGTTGGCTCTTCTTGCAGCTATCGCTTCCGTACAAGTTCAGGCAGATGGGCCTAAGTAAGTAATAAAACAGGAATATCAATTCCTTTAATTCAAGTCCTTAAATCTCATGTGACAGCTGGCGTCAAATTGTTAGACATCATTGTTGAGGTAAACGCGAAATACTGTTATAGCGAAGCGATTTAAAGAAACACCAGTTTGCTGGCGAATTAACTTCCATGCACTAACTTGAATGAGCTTACTTAGACACGCTAAACTAAGTCAGTCAACCAAGCGCGACATATACGCACTCAGTAGAAAGCGTAAGTCAATTGTTCATAATATAACGTTTTGTATTGAAAAAAAAACAACAACTTCTCTAGGAATTTTTAATAGAATGAATGTATCAAACGTTATTCAAGGTAGAGAGGGCCCAAGAGAAAGCACTACCGCATCACGCGTTGTGCCAACGACTTTATACGGAACAGAATAAAAAGTAAACAACGTGCTTGCGTGCGATTAATCTATTGCAACACACCGCCTCATTTCGCTGAAACTAGCTCATTAACAATAACCCTGTTTCGCAAATCACGCAAACCCATAAACTAGTTTATTCTTTACACTCGAGACAGTAAAGTCCCTTTGTTGCAGGAAGAAAATTCGCATACATCTTCCGCAAACGGTGAAGCACATACATCACCACAAGAAGATATACATAACAAATCACCCTGCGTCCTCACAGTATGCGCCGGCGTTTATGCCGAACGCAGAGGGCGCGGTAGCTGTTCCTACCAACATTGCGCTGCCGACTGTGGCTAACATCGTACCACTCAACTCTGTAGACATACTCGAAGACTCAGTGAGAACACCTGGTCTGACTGCAGCATCTTCCAAGCTCATACCACTTTACCATGCCCGCGGTTACTATGGACCCACACACACAGATATTGACGAACAAGAATTCGATTTAGCCCCCATGCCGGAACCTGCCGATAGCTATGTAGTTCCGACGTCAATTATTGCATCTCCATCAGACACTAATCATCATACATCTAAACGAATCAAGGTAGTAAAAGTAAGTGAACCGCCGCGTAAAAAGATCATCAGAAAAGTGAAACCCAAAAGAATTACAGTTCGTAAGCCAGCGAATACGGTACAGCAAGAAAATGATCTTCCCATCTCAACATTCCATGAACAGTTTTATTCAGACGTACAAGATGGCGGTACGATTAGGAAATTCAAAAAACCACCGCGATTTGAAAAAATCGTCGATGGCAACACCGAGCATTTTCACACTTACAGCGAAGAACACATTCACAAAGTAGTGTTCGATGAAGAACCGAAATATACTGGTGTTGTTGGCTTGGAGCCAATAGGGGGTATACCTGCGTATACCCATTCCTTGATTCCCCTTAAACAAGGTCAAATACTTGCGATGCCTTCGGATCCCTATAGAACTGTTGCGATTCCTAACTCCATGGGAAATCCTGCTCAATATGAATATGCCGCATACAATCCCCGCGAAGTAACACATGACCACTTTTTTCACGACCATGGCGAGATACCTGAGGAAGTTGAAATGACAAGAGATATTTTTAGTATACCACCAAAAGTGACCTACAACAGCCAGGGTATTAGAATCGATTCAGGTTTGCCAAAAAGAGTTAAAAGCAAGTACACACATAGACCAACGAAATCTTCTTCCGGAGATTATACTTTTTACGAAAATATGTATTCATCCAGTCGTGTTAAGCCAACAAAAGCGGTAGCTCCCGCATCATTATATGTAACCTCACAAAACGACAATGTGAACCAATTCAAACCTGTATCATCATTTCGATACAAAGACGGCGTCAGTAGTAAAGCTCGTAACAAAATACCCACGTACTTTGGTAAACCGACACCTGATTATCGCATAAAGAAACCATCTAATATTCCTGTTCCATTTACGGTGTCATCGAAAATAGTTCACGACTATAAACCATCGTCACAAACTTATTCTGGTACCGCACCAAGTGCGAATGGTATATCGGCTTATGAAGACCAATTTTCGAATTTTAAAGATAGTTTTGTAAATAATTATGAATACGATAACTACGCATCTTCATCAAACGTACACCGAGCAGAGGAAAAAAATCACCATAATACGTACGGCCACCAAAATAGGAAAGGTAGAAAGAAATCAATATCATCGCAGAATATCAGATTTGGAAATCAAAATATGAAGTATTCAGACAATTTAGCGAATGAAAATATTTTAATCGGTGATAATGATGGTGCACCGTCAGCCCTTGACGGTGAAAACTACGATGAATCAGTTATATATGACAGTGCGACATCCGCATCATTAACTGACAAGGAATCTTCCCCATATCAATATTACACGATAATGGCAGTAAAAGCATTAGCTGATGATCAACTATCAGTGCCAGAAGCGTCGAACAATAATTATCAATACGCGGAAGCCCCAACGCCTGCCATTACGCCGATTCCAACTATTGCGACCACTACTTCTACGCCAGAGTTCCTAACTAATGAAAATACCTTTGAACTAACAACACGGCCAACTGAAATTGTCGAAGAACACAGATATAGTAAGAAATATCAAGAGAACAACGCGATTACGGTCACAAATCCGCCAACGTTAGGAAGAAACCGAGGCTTGAAAGAAATGAAAAACAGTGATAACTTTCATAAGATCCGGTCACGTTCAAGCGAAAAGTACACAAACAATGTCAACTCTAGAACATCCACAGAAAGAAGTCAAGTTAAGTATGGTGATAAAATTTAGTTGAATAAAGACTATTTATCTTAGATATAAGAGTGTAAATATTGGTGATCTTAGCTCTATGTACCTTATTGTGGAAAATAAGTAAGAAATTACTTTATTATCTTACTATTTTGAATGAAATATTTATTTAAATTAATAAATTAACGCGATTTTTAGTATAAGTGAAGCCAGACGACATAAAAGCATTTTGTACGAATTTTAATACATTTTCTAAATAGAAAAATAAATTAAAATTAACTTTTCAAATTATTTTAATTATTTTCATTGAAATTTACCGCCACGAATCAGCTTAATAAAGATTATATTGAATATCTTAAATTTTAAGTAGTACAAGTCAAAAGCGCCTTTCAAATTAAAGCCGCAATAGTGCACTGAGACCAAATAAATATGAAACAACTGAAAGGAATATGGACTTCGTACAATAAGAAATTTCTTTCCACATTGCGTTCCTCAACGAATATATTATGTATAAATTTGTAAATAGCACCTTTTAAACATATCACAGCTTTTATTTATTGTAAAAATGTACTAATTTATTTATAATAGTGTATCCATCTATAATATGAACGAGAGGAATTGAATGTAATCAGTAAAATGGTTAAAACCAAACTAATATAATAAAATATTATATAAAGTTTACGAGGTATTTTACATTTTTTATATTAATTTATGGAAAATTATACACCGTAAAAATCGAACTTGTACGTTTTTACATACTATTATTGTACAATATTATATATAAAATATAAAAGAAATGCTGTAGGGTTTTATGAAAAATCTGTGGACAGCTTACAATCTTCGAATTCGATTTGGATTTTTTTGTAGAGATATAAGTAAACAGAAACTTTTATACATTACATAACAAGAAAATAACAACTGTAAACATACTAAATTACAAATGTATTATAGAAAACTAATTGATTACAGGAAACAATTTTCCTTGTCCGACGTTCGGACGTTGGTATCAGAGAGCGGAGCTTTCGAGTTTAAAGAGAAGGGTTTAGGCGTGTTAAGATTTACGTAACGTTAAGCCCTCGTGTCTCTACAACTTTAAGTTTCTCATGCCATTACGTGACTTGTAAAGAAGTGCACTCTTTAAAGATTACGACATACTAAACTATTTCTTAGCCCTAATTTGTCTTGTATTGTTCAAATTTAAATGTTACGTAAGGTTCTCTAAGACGCTTACAGCATTCCAAAGTAAATGTAGATAGAGATAATAAATCTATTTTCTAGTAAATTAACGAGTAATGAATGTTTACCCGGTACAGGAATGAATACATAATTAGAATACTGCATACATATGCTGTACTTATTTGTAGACGTATAGAACCGTTTTACGGACGCGTCAGGAAAATCAATACAACTGCGCGAGTATTCGCTTCTAATCAATCACTGAATGAGTGAATGATATAGCTGAAATCGCTCATTCGTTCATTTCCTCGTGTCGGAGACGCGTCGGGATTTACGGCAGAAGAATAGGTTGTACGCGTCGTTTAATACGTGCAGAACTTATTTTTCTGTCAAATAAATTATAAGTGTACACTATTATCTACCAATAATTACTGCTATGAATTTTATTTTCACAAAGTTATTACAATAAATGTTTTAAAATCAGTTACCTGCGCGTTTCAAACCTTTTTTTTTTTGTAAATTTTTACTTTTTATATAGTCTAGACGTGTATTTATATAGTACTTATATATTATATATATTGTGCAGTTTTCCAATTTTAATTAAGTTCTCCTTACTAACAAAAATAGGTTCTGTTGACTAATCAACAGAAACTTTTATATATTACATAACAAGAACGTAACAACTGTATACATACGAGTACTATGTGATGGCTAAGGGCCTACAGCCCAAGAAAATACATGCATAAGAATCTATATAAAAACTTACATATGTGCGAAAAACATTGGACTCTTGTCAGTTGGACAATAACGATATGACCTGTATAAGTTTAAGACATAAGTGCTCGTTAAGTTAATGGAAAATTTACTTGTCTTAATTACAAAAGGCGCTGAGAGCGGTTTCATAATCATGCTCCGCCCTCAATTAATAACTTTCACAGACAAGAGTTATGTAAAAACGTATGATCTTATCGGCCGTTTTACTATCTGGTCGTATTGCACAGGGCGATCCGTCCCATTTCTGCGAAGGATTTAAATGTGGCCTCTGCTACTCTTTCTTCTAAAAAAAAAACAAACAACGAATCCCCTCACCTCGGTAACTTCTAATACTCGAAGTCAACTATAATGAGAGGTCAGCATTCACTATCTATTTAGCCCTGACCACCAATCTTGTCGGTAATTGTGTAGTATCAGGGACGTGAGAAAACTCAAAGGAAATACAAACAAACACAGGATTGTTTAGTTAACATGTAATAAGCAAATAAAAATATTTAACTTCAATATGACAGAGTATGATATAAATTATCCGATTTCATTTATCGGTTCATTCGTTTTATTTTATTTATCGATCACATAATTAGCTATGACTATAGCTCCAAGTCCTAAATAAATATTTATGTGGCGTTAAGTGACTACTTAACGCCACATAAATATTTATTTACTTTCGAATACTAATTATTGGGCTTTCAAAATTCTCAAACATTCTGGGATGCACAGGTTTAAAACACATTGACGACTTCTTTGAATATAGGTAACACTTTTTCGCTAAAATAAAACGCAATTTTAATAATTAAATAATATTTTACTAGAAAACAACATAACAATAACTTAAGCTAACCTATGTACAACCAAAAATATAGTACAATTTAATACTGGATAAACATTAAAGATCGTTGTATTTGTATGCACATCAGAATCTATGACTTAGTTGATTTTTTTTAACAATGTTGCCAACAATGTATTTATTTCCGTTTGTGGTAAGGGCCGCCGCCATGACCTGCGCCTAGAGCGTTTGTGTAACTGTCACCACCAAATTCATCTCCCCCGTGACCACCTCCGTGGCCACCAATGTCTGTTAAACTTATATCCGCAATCCCGTGTCCACCGCCGGAACCGTGACCATGGCCTAGGCTGTAACTGTCACCACCGTGGCCGCCGCCAAAACTGTGACCACCGCCACCTCCACCATGACCACCGTGACCGCCGCTGCCGAACGAAGTGCTGGTTAGTGAATAGCTGTCGTGACCACCGCCTCCGCCATGACTTCCGATGCTATAAGAGTCGTGGCCACCTCCGAAGTCGCCAAGACCGCCAGAACCATGACTACTATGTCCCCCAAATGATAAGCCATGGCCACCTCCACCGCCGCCACTGTAACTATCGTGGCCACCAGATGAAAAACCACCACTTATTGCTCCTGATATTCCGCCACCGCCGTGATGGTCATGTCCTCCGTGGCCGCCACCAAATCCACCCCCAAAATCGTGGCCACCGTCATGGCCGCCTCCAAATCCACCTCCTAAGCCTCCACTGAAATCACCGCCATGTCCGCTTCCATATCCTCCACCTCCACCATGGCCATCGCTAATACCATGACCGCCCCCTCCATGTCCTCCTAAATCATAACCCCCATGTCCACCTCCAATATCTAGACCGCCCCCGTGACCACCTCCAAAGTCATGACCACCACCGTGACCACCTCCAAAGTCGTGACCGCCAAAATCGCTGCCCCCATGGCCACCACCTAAGTCATGTCCCCCGAATCCACCGCCGATTCCGTGACCACCTCCGAAACCGCTATCTCCATGGCCTCCCCCGTATCCACTGCCTCCGTGACCACCTCCAAAGCCACCGCCAAGACCACCTCCGTGTCCACCTCCGAAACCACCTCCGTAGCCACCTCCAAAATCATGTCCTCCGTGTCCACCTCCGAGGCTACCGCCGATGTCATGGCTTTCGTATCCACCACCTCCATGGCCACCTCCAAATCCTAAATCTCCGTGGCCTCCGCCAAAGTCATGGCTTCCGCCGCCTCCGTATCCTCCTCCGATGGAAATATCGTGGCCACCACCAAATCCACCTCCGTAGCCGCCGTGACCACCATGACCGCCGTGGTCGTGGCCTTTTAAGTGGTCTATGAAGCCTCCGTGTAAGTGATCTGCGAAACTGCCGCCGTGGCCACCTCCGTATCCCCCTCCCCCGCCGCCTCCGCCGTGTCCGTGATCATGATGCTCGTGCACTACAACCTCCTTTGACGAGTGATGTTCCTCCGGTATGTGAACTCGTATGTGAACACTGCAACAAAACAGTTATTACAATCTTAGGCTAATCAACGGTATTCGTCATTTTAAAATGTTCGCATGCTATAAACACAGCCTAAATAATTTAAAACAATAATGTGAAATCATAGATCGCATTGCCAGCATGTCAGATATAAGATACAAGTGAAAACTATATGTATAGATAAATGAAAACACAATGGCTCGATTTTCACCATTTACCGCAATGAATAGATAGTACGTGAGAAACAGAGATCAAGACAAAATTACTCCGTTTATTTTTTTGTTTCCGCATGTATTTACGCTAATGCAAAATGTTGAATAAGGAAAGCTGCAAACGTTATTCCTTTTTCAATGAAATCGCAAGAAATAAACGTAAATAATACTAACTGTTCATGGCCAAAAGTCGCGGAGCAGATGCCAACGCTAGCCAGTAGCACGCAGGTCAGCTGAAATAATAACACAACATTTTAAGAAGAAGAATAAAATATTTTTATTTGATAACATCGTGATCAAAATTCATAATAAAAATCTTCTTAATAAAACATCCTGTATTTGCATAATTTAATATTCATTTCGAATATGCAATCAACATCATAATGGGACGGATTATAATCGAGGCAACGTAAATCATGTTCCGAGTCCCATAAAACGGTCAATTGCCCGTACGAAATGGAAAGCGGACACTGCAAGTTGTCCGATGCTATCGCCTCCAACCCAATTGTTTTACATGACGTAACCAAAGTATGACAAACACGTGTGATTCAACAATCTTACACTCAGAGTCGAGACTAAGAGAGTCCCTCACTATACATTTTACACTGATGTAAGCGACTGTTTACCAGTTAAGCTGCTTTGAGTGCGGCAGTTAAGTGACACTTGAGAAATCGATTAAGTTAGTAATCATACTATCATTACAGAGTAATCGTACATGAGTACGATAATTACAATATTTCTAGTTTTTCGTGCCATCTATCACATTATAATATAATTTAAACATTGCATTTGGATAATTAGATGTTTTTAATATTATTAAGTATAAAAACAATACAATGTGCATAAAAAGGACCAAATAATCTCTTTGTAATAAATCCAAAATCCCAAGTCTATAACAAAAGGATATACTCGTATAAGAATAATACAATCACTAATACGATTTGTAATGGCCTTTAATAGAAATAAACAAACTTGACCAATAATTTAAAGCAACTATAGCCCAATGGTTAAGGGTACTATCGGCCATCAGTTCTATTCTCGACATCCGTAAACATCCTAGCACAATCAATATTATTTAGAACAAGAAATATTAGTGAATGACCACTATTAATCTTTAAAAAAAAATCCTCAAACATTCGTGTGAACTTTCGTTAAGTTCGGACGAGCCTCACATATTCCGGAACTAATTTACAATCACGTAACATTACTCACAGCCAAGCGAGAAGCCATTAGGAATGGCTGCGACCGGCTCCAAAGAAACTCAACCACTGTAGAACACGAGTGCTGTGACGACGACGCTGCTTTGCTCTTTTATATAACAGTGAATGTACCAACCCCTACTCGAAACGCTAAAACCAACCGAAAAATGTAAATTCGTGTAATTAAATTGAATCTTCAATATGAGACGAATTATTCATTGATTAATGTTTAACGTAACAATTCATTTTATAATTTAATTTGATAATCTAAATTTAAACGTACTTTTTTCGTTAAAGGTCCTTTTTATGTATTTAACACAAAATGTGCCAGTAACAATTCTACAGTTTTAGGAATAATCGTAATCTATACCCATTTTTAAGACTCGAGGATAATTAAACGTAAGAACAATGCACCAATTCCCAAAGGGGAAATTAATAGAGTCATTTTTTTTATTTCTATAACTTTCGTTATATTTCAATCCAATCCAATAAATGCCAGAGTTTGGATGGATGGATTTTTGTTACAGTTTGTATAGGCTAGAAACTCTAACTGTTGATTTCTAAAACATCAGGCAGAGATTTACAGGACAGGCTGGAAGGACACATAGGCTACTTGCTATTGCTTTTTTAATTCCATGAGGACGGAGTCGCGGATGAAATCTAGTATTATACATAGGAAGTACACGTAAGTTTTTTTTAATTCTACGACCGTTAAACCCAAAGTAAAATGATGTTAATCTCTTTATCGATCAAGGAGGAGCTTTATTGATAGTTTGAATTGAGTCATTTTTTATAGAGTTTAGCCGTGAACTATAAGTTCAAAGTACAATGGCTATTGTTCGAACAATAATAAAACGCAATCAGTACAGCAATGACTTCCGTAATACTGTCCTCTTTATAGATAATTCTTTGTCTTTAATGGGCGGCCGTGTTTTTAATTACTAGCTATAACATTAATCTGTACAAAGCTGTATTTATGTATAATATTTAGTAGTATAAGGTTAATATTGTTTGTTTGTAAGTGCTTGGTCAGAATTTAAGCATTTTCATTCAAGTGATAACATAATCAACCAATATCTCCATTTTCAAATATGATGACCATATAGCACGAAATAGACGGACAGTCCTATTTACAAAAATAATGCCAGATTCATAACTACACAACATATGTCGAACGTTTGAAATGTTACATCCCCATTGTGTAATCTATATTTAAATGTAATGTTAATATAACAGTTATACATTTTGTGTGTAAAATAAAATACATCTGAAGAAGCTATGTTAAATGCTGGACTTGTAATCAGCAGGTCCTGTGTGCAAGTTCTGTCCTATGAATTTTTTGATTTTAGAATTTCATATGACATTTACTTAACGTTCTTACAGTGTAGGAAAACATCGTGATGCAATCTTTACTAAATCTGTTAAGAAATATAAAGATATCTGTTAACACAATGGTCCATCATGATTATGGACTTATCACCGCCTAACTTCAGCTCCGAGCTTCAGTAGAGTATACTGAGCTGACGATGAAGGTACATTACTGTATAAAAGTTGTTTTATCATGTCCTCATTTATCTTTAAAAATCATGGCGACTACCCGTACAGGCATCTTGTAAGCACGTAGCGGCGTCCAAGACTGGACTAGCGATAAACGAAAGCTTCTGAATGGGTGTGCATTGTGCGAAGAGTATTTCCTGTTGTACGATACATAGCCGTGTTATGCAAAACATAACTGTCGTGAAATCGCTCACAGGTCGCGTATGTTTTGATAATAACTTCCCAGTTTGGGATAATCACGGATTTCGTAACGTGCGCTTTTAAAGGTATAATATTTCGTATATCGATAATTACATCTTACTATGATTAGCTATTGTTGACCTAGTTACTAGGGGTAGGCTCAGTAGAGACAAATAGTGATTTGTTTAAAAATATAAACTGTGTGAAAAAGAGTACGGACCAAGAGTCTGTAGATGTTGATTTAAAAAAAAAACAGCTGGTGAGGTTGATTAGCTGGCTTGTATTCTTATATGGTATGGCTTGTACTCAAATATGATTTTTTTTAATCTTTTACATCTGAAAAGAGTTGTCTTTCGTTAACCATTAGCATATTATTTCTAGCTTTTTGAAAATGTTTATCAATAGTTTAGTTCTAAGCTTTAGGTATTGATTACTTATTGAGAAGTAGGATGTCGGAATCCCATTGACAAGGGTGGTCCCTGTTCATTTTCACCTTTCACCATTCTAGTTAATTACGTAAGGTCTAAATCTCTTGCACGCGGATATCCTAGTCCTATGATGTATAAGCGTGTATATAATGCTATTAGAGCTATGAAAGTATGTTTCTTGGAAGAGGTTCCGTAAACATCGGCCACGTTTAGACTTTTTAGCTACATTGCTATCCTCTTCATTATCTTCGACAAAACAGAGACAACAATAAGAATGGATAATAACTATATATATTTTTTTTTTATTTGAGAATGGGGTCGGGAACATAGAGGTATTCAACGACGCCCATGGACATCCGCAACACCAGTGGAACTACATATTAGAGAAGTCTTAAAGTATCAGTGGTAGAGAAAGAATAGATTAGGTATGGACATTTTATAAGAAGGGAAGAATCTCATGTGAGGAGAACTATAATTATGAATATAGATTCCTTGGTAGGGATAAGACCTAGGAAGAAATGGATGTAATGTATAAAAGGTAACATGAAAAAGAGGTCGACACAGAAATTACGGAAGATAGATCTGCAGAAACTTGGTACACCGAACCTATTTAAGTAGGATAAGAACGAGATGATGCCAATTGTCATAGTATTATTCGGTTTCCAGTAATAACGACATGATAATACGGAAAATAATAAAATAAATACATTCTACTTGTTTACTAGAGAGAATCTGTACACATTGTGCTGCGTTATTTGGAACGCGAGATAACTTTAATTGTAATTAAACTTACATAATATGTTATATAGTTGTCACCTGTAAATCGTGTATGCCGTCTATTTGTAATTTGACTAGACAATTACTAAAACTCGGAAAATTGCATATCAAAGTAGCTCATTCACAGATGTGTCATATTTTAATTATACTTCGACACTTTAATGTAACAATTATTTGGTATATTTTTTTATTGAACAGTGCACTTAACAATGAAAAGTTAGCTTAACAAATTGCCGAAATAGTAAGTATAACTTTATAAACGTTGTGTTTTAGAGCGGGCGCACACCTGAAACTAAACTATCGTACAACTTTTTAATCTCGCTTTGATTCCTAAGAGCTTATATGGAGTTGCGCACACTACTCCATTTTTAGTTGTGCAACTAAACAGTCGACAATCACACAACTCTTGTGCGATAATTTAATCAAAGGTGTGCGCCCGCTTGTATAATTCGTCTAGGCAAATTACAAACTGGCGCTGTACATTATTTGCCGGTGACAGTCATGTTCGCGCCTTCACTATATTTAACACGGTTTGGTTTTAGAGATTCACTACTGAGATCATAATGTCAAAGCCTAATTATTTTACATAACGTAAACGAAGATGTTACGTAGCTCCTTCGTGGTGCGATTCAATACAATTGGTTTTTACCATTTTAAACATCTATGTCAAGTGGTTGAAGTTCGCATACGAACATAAGTGACATAAAATCATTTGTTACGTAAGATTTAATCCCAAAGTATCAGTTATTAGCCTTAATATTTGTATTATTCAACCAACGTAAAGGAAAGTTCCGATGTTTATTTAATCTACCTATTTGCACTTTATTTGATGCTTGTCCTTTCAATGTTTATTTGATAATCAAGCGAATCTGATGCAGTTAAAAATAAGTTATTATTAAACACTAAAATTGAACCCTAACTTGTAAAACGTACGCTTAACCACTGAGCTGTAGCTCTGTTGACGTTTATATCCGGCAATTTATTCAAATCACAATAAAAATTTCCCACACGTTTATCTCCAAGTAATTCTATCTTTATTCATATTCATGGAAACTTAGGAAGTAACATCGGTATTAGATAACTAACAGAACAAGATAATCAACAATTGTTAGATTTAATCGATTTTCCGTATATTTAATTAAATAGCGTGAAAGATTAACTTTCTTAACTAATTAACGAGTTACTTTACTTTTAATATTATGATGTTTTAGCGGCTATTCTATAACTTCTTACATGACCATAGATTCGACGTTTGTTTCTTTCAAAACATTTTAAACCGTCCGTTTCTATTATCGAAACATAAAGATAAACATGCTTTTTGGTATGTTTATGCAAGCATGCTTCAAGTACGTTACGGTGGTACAAACTACAAACATATAATAATACGGTTATGTTCAGCAGTAACGCGCAGAACGAATCAGTGCGTAAAATCTTTAACACAAATATTTTGCAAATAACAAAGTTCATTTAACATTAAACTAGCAGAATAGTATGGATGTGCGTGACCCGTCATCGTAACACTAATAGTGCAAGCAACTTTCGTTCTAACGGATAAATCGAACTCGGAGAAAATACGTTCACCTTCCGAAATTCATAACGGCGAAAATTCCTTGCCTTTATAAATATCATGGCATTTATTACGTATTACGTTTTTATACGTTCACTTTTATTTTTAGAGAGAATCATAGCGATATGTTACGTAATACAACACTAATTTAATGTGAATACAAGGTATCCTATTCCAGGGATTGCAAACCAAAGCCCCGCGAGATTATATTTTGGACTGTTTTCGATCACGAAATTCATCATACAGTACGAAAATACCACGCAGTTGGTTTATGAAGAGGCAATAGTAATCCACAAGCTGGAGAATGAAGAGAATAATCAGTAATTTTTATGACACTTCTAAAACTTCGATAAACATTTAAGTAAAATTGCACGTTCGTTCGTAAAGGTTTGCTACCCCTGTCCCAACTTTATCTTTAGGAAACCTTTGGTATAAGATGCTTCATGTAAGATTTGAAGAAAAAAAAAATTTAAACCTGCTTTACAACATGTCTCAGGTTTTTCAAATATGGAGAAGCCAATTTATGTAGATTCAAAACCTATTGCAGTAGAAGCTTATACTAAAATGTAATTTCTTACATTCTGTTAATATATAAATATACAATAAAAGTAAAATACCAATTTAAAATAAAACAGCAAAAACAAAATATAATTATTAACTATCACTAACATCGGTATTGGAAAAAAATTATGTAAATCGTTACAGCTGTTGCATAAGATTACTCCAATAAAGAAGTAAACAAGTTTATTGCTAATTTAAAGACAAATTAAAACAAATAAACAGACATTATGGATATCTGTTTTGTGCGATTATGACACAAATCTTGCTGTTTCGTATCTGTACAAATTGAAACCGGTATGGCGGCGGCCAAAATGCAAAATTAGTTTTTTCGTTATTAAAAAGGACTGTGATAAAACTGTTTATTTTCACAAACAAGTCACTGCTAAATAATAGCATTGTTAACTCTTGTATCTCTCTCTGTCTTTTTTTCCTCTCTCTTTCTAAATAAAAATGACAAAGGTTCGTAGTGGCCAGTACTCGACCTCTTTGGCAGAATGCTTAATCTTTGTCCAGCAGAGATCGGATAAGTAAATTCTTGAATCAACAATATATTCGTCTCTGTTAATCTTATGTTCTTTATTTAGTTTTAAAAAAATTATAATGTTTTTTGCTAATCTTGTTGGTTAATAACACTTTTTAAAACAACTTGATCTTATCTCCTAAATATTTTAGTTGTTATATTGTCCCGTGTAGCTATTTTAGGTTTAGTTACCATTTTCTGCCTTTTAAGTTCCTACATTTTACCATTAATATGCACATAAGCGTCGCAGGCCAAAAATCCAGACTACTTCTAGGGAGTGGGGGCAGTTGGGGACGAACATGCTGCTTCATTACCTAAGTGAAACTAAATACTAATTTTCCCACGGAATCTGATAGTAAACCTAGTAATTGGAATGTAAAACGCGCGGGATTCATTCGATGTTATTCGCCGCTCGAAATATTGTAGAACGCGGGCTTTGATAGAAAGCGGCAAGCTCGGACAGGAAGCACGGAAGCACATACAACCTGTTTCGACCTACCCGATGCAACTGGTCTCATACTTTACACGCTCACGGAAATACTGTATTTATGTTTATCATAGAGAATAGATACGCTCCTATAATAGAAACAGTTTTCATGCATATATTGCGGGAAAGTATCAACTTTTTCTTTCAAAAGGGGTACAAAATAGCAACGGAACGCTTATTAATAATTGGTCAGGCCAGACAGTTAAACTTAATGCGAGGAAAAAGCCTAAAGTTTTTTTTAATGCTTTGATTTTAAGTTTTATAAAGAATTAGCCTTTTCCCGCGACCCTGTCCACGTGGAAAAAAACAAAATTGAGTAGCCTATGTGTTCTTCCAGACTATGTTCTACATCTATGCCGAATTTCAAGCTGATTCGTTCAGCCGTTTAGACTACAAACTCTAACAAACATTCACCCATCTAAACATTCGCATTTATAATATTAGTATAATGTGTGCTACTTCTGAATTCATAAAATAAAACTACATAATGACATTCAATGTACGTATATATTAATATTAAAGATATACAAGTAATTAAGTTACATTTCATACAAACGACCGCAGTATCATAGATTTATTAGCAAATTTCAATTTCGACAAAAATAAATGCAAATTACACAGCGTTGAAGTAAACAATTAAAAAGTTATTAAAAAAAATTAAAACTTCAATTAGCCTAAGTAGTCGAGTCGATTATCGATTAGTTATGCGACAGTCTTACATACACTAGTTTCAGAACTAGTTATTGGTAACTAAACTTTAAAAACAATATTTTACAATTTTATTTACATTAAAATTGACTAAACAACATATTCAGTGCCGATTTAACCCTAAGTTTTAGGTTTTAAGGGCGAGAATTCTACGGCGCCCTTTTTAAATATAACTTGGGGGTTTAAAGTTATCGGTTCGCAGACCGCTTTATTTACCACAAATGTTATGTCTTTTGAGAATTAACTTTACTGAAGTTTATGGTACAGTTAAATATGAATTGGTAAAAGAAACGGAAATCATTTTCAATATGGAAGATTTAAGCGAGTTCCATTAATGAAACACTAAATGTGATTTTATAGAAAAACTAGCTTTCGCTCGCGACTCCGTCCGCGTGGTAATAAAAAAACAAAAGTGAACAGCCTATGTGTTCTTCCAGACTATCTTCTACATCTGTACCAAATTTCATCGAAATTCGTTCAGCTGTTTAGGCTACAAACTCTGACAAACATCCATCTGAAGTTTCGCATTTATAATATTAGTATGAAGTAAGATTATGATTCAAGTTACAAGTCTTAAAATACATGGATAATAGAAAGTAGGAACAATTTTATCTTGAACGGAGTTGTATTAATATGTATACAAAAATTGTCGCCATTTTGTGCTTTTAACTGTAACAAGTTAATGTACATATTGTATAGTATTACCATAAATTTCGTAAGGATAAATAAAATCGCATAATTTATAAAACAAGAAAGACAAGCATTTCCGAAAAATAAAACGCAACAAATCAATCTACTGTATTGGGCGTTTCCTGTTGGGCCGTTCAGCTTTTTGATGGGTGGTAAAATGGAAACAAACCTATTAGGCCGATTGGATCCATAAAACAACTGTTTCCCGTTAATATTAATGTCCCGTGTAATATTTCCCCTTGGAACTCCTTTAGTAAAATTACCTATTCGACTGACTTCGTTTGGCCTAACAAAAAACACCCTCTATATCGTATTATTACTACAATCTGTAACTATTTAGACTACTGGTTAATATTTCACTAAATTTCCACAACATCCAGATTTATTATTTATATTGATAATTGATATACTATGTAGAATTAAAATTATTTCCCACTATAGACAACAAGATATTCTTAAAAACGGTTCACACAACATTCAGATATGCAAAAAACTATATTTCCTAAGAAAAATTGATTATTTTCTATTAATCGGTAGACGTAGAACATGGTTAGTTTGATAAACTCGAAGAGTTAGATTTTATAGAGACCTCAATGCATGTAGAATCTTTTTATATTGATTATTTTAAAATTGCAAAACCTTCATTTTCGCAGTTTATAGTCTTAACAATGTTCTATAATCGGTATCTATTGGTATAATTTTTGACACCTATTAATTTAAAAGTATATGATTGCAACAAAACAATGTACTATTATGAAAACTAAATTCTAAGCTGAAAAACTGTAGTTAACTGCAAAATACATTTTGAATTCCAAAGATTGTTACTTTTAAAACAAAATGCAAAATAATGTACTATTACAACTAAATATTAACTATAATTCACTGCCTATAACATTGCATTGCATAATTGCTATAAGTCTTACAGCCCAATATTTTTTTTTTTATAATACGAGGTGGCAAACGAGCAAGCGTGACCTGAATCCACCGAAATGGAAAGCGACCGCTGCCCATAAACATCCGCTATTGTAGATGCCTTGCCTACCCTTCATTGACAGAAGAGACGCACATAAAGAGGACATTTCCCCTTCCTATGCATCTCCTTCACCGTCCAATCCACTTTTTCCTCCCATCCTTTCCTCTTAAGAAAAGGGTGGAAAGGAAAAGAGATTAAAATTATACACACTATGTTTGATGGCTTAAATCCAGATTGGAAGTCATTCAAATAATATTTTAAAACAACCTATTAAATACATATTCAATAAAAAAAATTATAACAATATAGCTTGTCAATTATTTAAAAATAAAAAAGATTATTTTTTTCTTAAATTAAAGGACTCTGAGAATTTATTGCCAATTTTCGCCCCGTCTTATTGGACGTTTCTAATTTTTTTTAATGTAAATTTTAAATAATTCGGTCCCATCTTTAAATATGATGGAAGACGTAAAACTACTGATATTCCCAAAATTTCAAATACCTTTACATCATTGGTATAATTCTCACTTTTTTTTATAAATAATGCACAACTTTGGACGTCTAGAATTAATTTTTATGCACCGGCAACGGATGTGCCTCAGAATTGATAACGTATTTATTTAAATCTATGAGATATCTATCCTCACTGAATAGTAAATATAGATATTTAAGTGTTTCTGAGAGAAAGAAGGTTTCCATCATATCTCGATGGGCAGGTCTGTCAGATTTCACGCTGGCCAATGATGAATATCCATAAGTAACTCTTGCGTATTTCTCGAAACCCTGAAAATAAAATGAAATCAATCGTCTATTTAAAAGAAAAATATTTTATTTAGTACAGCGCCATCTAGTAAAAACTTTAAACAATAGTATGAAACCTGAAATTCTGCGTACATTGAACAATAGATGGCGCTGTTACGAATTTGTTTTTTTTACTAAAGCCATCATTTTACTTTTGTTTACCATGATAGCGTGATTTTCTCTATCAAGTATACCTGATATATCTGCCAGCCCCAATCTTGATATGTAGTGTTGCCAGTCAATTGATACATGTACCACAAACTCTCGACAAACTCGGGCCGCAACAAACTGTGTGCGTCCGCGGATTTAGTGTACATATCTTCTGTCGTACTAACCTAGAAAACATAAACATAAAGTAAAGCTCCATAATAAGTGGGAATATTAAGTACAAGCTGTTGCGCGTGACTTCGTTTAAGTGAAATTAAAAAATAAAAATAAGCTTTAAATGGTGCAAGAATTTATAAATTTGGTCCAATAGTTTTTGAGTTATTTCAATACATAGAAAAATATCCTTTTTATAGTTACAAATTTTGAATTTGAGATAAAATAAAAAATATCGCTTACCATATTAAAATGTGTTATTTCAGGAGCTAAGAATGTGGGATGGGCAGAATATGTCAAATAGCATGTATAGAGAAGTTCTTCAGCCATAGACATATGCCAATCTGGCAGACCATTTGCATGCCCTAGGGCCAATGTTCCAGGCAAGAAACAAGTTAAATGGTCCATCTTTGGATTAAAAGCCTGTAAAAAAACGAGTTATATAAAAAATCTGCTTAAAAAGTTACAATCTGCATATCTACCTTGTTAATCATAGTATTACTGATATTATAAATGCGAAAGTTTAGATGGATGGATGTTTGTTAGGGTTTGTAGACAAAATGGCTGAACGGATCTCTATGAAATTTGGCATACATGTATAGGATAATAGGGAAGAACACATAGGCTACTTAGTTTTGTTTTTTAATGCCACGCGGACGGAGTCGCGGGCGAAAGCTAGTTATAAATATTTACCTCTGACCCGGCAGATAATTCTCCAATAAACAAATGTTTATTCGGCGATGAACGTTTCGCTAAGAATTCCCGAACACCCTCTATAGCCGTCATATAGTCATCCAATAAACTGCAAAATATATAAAAAAAATTAATACATATCATAAAAATATGAAAGCAACATTTATAATATTTAGAGATTGCAAATTAAAATGTACATAAGATGATTTTTCTGAGAAAGAATGTATACAGGATGATTTCTATCGGCCCAATGGGAAAAAAAAACTCCTATTGGACCTACCTATCGACATCGAAGTGCGTCTCTGCTATAATACCGCTTTAATTTACACTAAAGCTACACTAAGGTTTCACTGAGTTTATAGATTGGCAGTAACTTTAAAAAAGGTAGAGCCCGCTTTAACATGTTCGCACAACAGGGTCGGCTCGTCCCTAGTAATACTACGACCACACGGAAAACATTTGAGAAGTGGAAGCAATTCCGCGTGCAGTCTGATGAGTGTGGTGCCCTAGGCTTAATTTTAGTCCTTTTTCCTTTCCACCCTTTTCTTAATAGGAAAAGATGAAAGAAAAGTGGATTTGACGGTAGAGACGCTTAGGAAGGGGAAATGTCCACTTTATGTGCGTCTCCTCCGTCAATGAAGGGTAGGCAGCGCTGCAATTGCGGATGTTTATGGGCAGCGGTCGCTTTCCATTTCGCTGGTTTCAGGTGGCGGCTTGCAAGTTTGCCACCGCATATTATGTAAGTAAGTTTTTTACTTACTAGTTGATTGTCTTGCCAGTCTGTAGCCACTGTTTAAGTAAATATTCATAGTAACTATCGCCTCTAGCTCCCAGCGTTATTGTAGCGTGTGGCAAAAAGTCTCCGGTATTTGGATTTATAAATATCGGAACTAAACCGTGTTTCTTCGGCAATTGGTGAATCTTCTCTGATACAGCCGCCACAGCATCCTGTAAGTACTCATTTTTGAAAATACAAGACAATTTAATCTTAACTCATAAGAAAGAAACTAAGAGACAAATACTCTATTGCATAAATAATCACGAATAAATATAATTTATAAATTGATAAATACGACAATCCTTATATTCATTCGCTATATACAGGGTCATTTTCTAATTACCAGAAAAAATAAATATAGGATCTCAAATATATAGTATTTTTTTTCTAAACAATGATGAAGTTTGATCATCGTCATCGGCCTTTCTTTGCCCACTGCTGGGCATAGGCCTTCCCCAATGCCTTCCACAGAATGCGGTTTGAGAAATGAAAATTGAAAAAAATCCCGTAAAAATATGGCCATGGCATAAATAGACATTCGTGTATTTATTACGATTACCCAAAAATTAGGATATTTTAGTGTCATAATCAATATTTGCAGTAGATAATGATTTTCTAGTAATTACATAATCCTGTATGTAATTTATACGCCAGCTATTCTTTAAAATATAATCCGCTATAGCTAACACTAGCAAAGGCAGATTTCAAAAGTAATTTACGAATAAAACGTTAAGAACAATATTGAACATTCGTAAGGCAGCAGTGAAACGCGTTATCAACAATCGCACATCAAGTTTCGTAAATAAAAGTTACAATAGTTTATAGCTTGCTTTCATTTAACGATGGAATTAAATTGGAACAATAGAATTTCGCTTCCGTTCAATTTGAAAATCTCGCAAAGTTAAAGTAGGCTTCCACTGGTAAAACAATATATGTGCGGATCGACAGTGAAAACCCATAATTTTTTTTACAAGCAGTTTTATTTGATTTTATAAGGTACAAATTTACCTTAATTCGCCATAAAAGCGAAGCGATTGCTACAAATAGACACCCGCAAAAGCAATTCAAACTTACAAAACCACATTTCTATGTTTAAATATGTATTTGAACAATAAATGTATATATATATTAGTTGTAGCGGAGGCCATTTTAACGGAAGCGGAAGTTCCGTGCTTGCGGATGCGGTAGCGGAGTTCCGTTACACCCCGAATACATATATGCTATTCTCACCTCATATGCTGGATTATTGGTTGCTCTAGAAAGTTCTCTGAACTCCAATTGGACAGTAGTTACTTCCGCTGTGGTACTATAGTGAGACCACTCCGGGGCATGAGCCGTTCTTGTAGCCAAGTTCACATCCGAATAAGGTATACCGGAAGGTGAGGAAAACGCTGACATAAGTCGATCACCCAAGTCTTTCTATAAAACATTTGATTCAATATTAATATCAAAGTATTAAAATGACAAATTAGAACAAAGTGTTTGTGGACTTTTATGTTAACACTAGCTTTAAAAAACTAGAAAAAACTAAAGTTAGTAGCCTATGTGTCCTTCCAGACTATCCTTTACTTCCAAATTTCATCGAGATCCGTTCAGCTGTTTAGGCAAACTCTAACAAATATCCATCCATCCATCTAAACTTTCGACTTTAAAGTATTAAAATGAACTCGTCAAATCATTGGCTCTTCAATAATTGCTTATAGCAGATGTATCTAGATAAATTTCTCTTTCCAATTGGTCCAATTATTGTATGGGTTCAATTGTCACAATGAGAAAAAGTTCCACTGAACAATTGACATAAGGAGAGATTGTACAATGTAAAACATACTTAAGTCCAAAAGAGCAAAAGTTATAAAAATAATATAGATTTAGCAATGAATGAAATTCAAATACCATAGTTTATAACTTTGTCAATGTTTAAAGTGTAATTTAATACTGACCGCTTTTTCAAGGAACATTTTGTCATGAGAGAAATGATAATTGGTCAGCAAAGCGCCGAGCACACGAATAGTGACCTCGAAGAAATTAACATCCTTGTTTTTTGTGAATACCAACTCGGTTTTAATCCACTTCTTGCCTTCTTCATACTCTGAAATATTATAAATAATAATTAAATATATATAAGAAGAATAAATCTATACTAATATTATAAAGAGGAAAGATTTGTATTTTTTTATGTATTAAAATAAGTCAATAACTACTGGGCAACTTTAAAAATTCTTTCTCTGGTAGAAAGGTATTTTATCTGTGAGTAACATAGGCCAATAGTAATACCTTTTTACTATTTCTTAATTTCACGCGGACGACGTCGCGAGTAACAGCTAGTATAGATATATAAATGTCAATAAAATCCAAAGAACTTAAAATAACTTAGTTACTAAGTTAATATTCACACATTAAAACAAGTCAAAAGAAACTTCGTAGCTATTGGTAGCAAGTCAGGAATTATTTGATTTGCAAGGACCTTTCTATCAATATTAAAAACATCATATCAAAACATACCAAATCATGATGAAAATAATATAAATCTTACTAATATTATAAATGCGAAAGTTTGGATGGATGGAGGATGTTTGTTAGAGTTTGTAGCCTAAACGGCTGAATGGATCTCGATGAAATTTAGCAAAGATGGAGAACATAGTCTGGAAGAAAACATAGGCTATTTACAATTGTTTTTTTTTAAATCCACGCGGACGAAGTCGCGGGCGAAAGCTAGTGTATAATAATTTAATCATTTATTGTTTTTTGAAAAACATACCATCAGTCAATCCCATGATGAAAGCTGTATCCAATCCATCGACAATAGTAAGTCCTAATGAGAACCAGTCAAAAGCCATTCCAGTTACTGGTTTCAAGTTGTCATGTCCCCAAGCACGCTCCTTGTACCCTTTCCAGGCATGTTTGAAGCTCTCAACCACAGCATACTGTCGAGCATTAGCTGGGCCTGGAATAAAAATAATTAAAAAAAAAACAACAAAATGACAATCAATAAAGCCATTACTGCATTGTTTAAATATTATTTAAAAAAATGTCAAAGCAATATGAGGTTCCTTTCTAACCTGTAAATGTATGATGTTCTTCCGAATCATGATCAATAGCAGACTTATGTTGAGTCTGCACTACACCTGCGGCACTGACTAGAGTTGTATTTTGTTCCTATAACAAGATAATAACAATAACTTCACAAATATAAGCAATTACAAAAACCCCAGGACTCAAGTACAATAACAATGTATAAAAACCCATAGATAAACAAAATGCTTTAAAACTAACCTAAACAGTTTGCACTGATAAATAATGCTACTTATTCTTAAAAAAATGATAACAATGAACATGTGTTAAAATAAAATTCACTCTTCACTAGTCGATAATAATAAATGTTTCTAATAAGTCTAAATAAATGACTTATCTCCAATTTCAGTAACAGTAACTGATACTTTTTTAATCTTTATTAGTGTTGTGATGTATGTAAAATAACAGTGAAATCCAATACTAAAAGTGAAGATAAGGTTATCTATAATGTTCTATGTTTCATTAACAATCCAAATATTGAATATATTAACTTATCAAGCTACTGCTGATTTACAATAAAAAAATTATGATATAATTTTTTTTGTGTATTTTCTTATTATAATTCTAATTGTAAATAATTATCTACTTACCAGTACTTTGTCGACATTATCCCTTTCTGAATCCCCAATTTTCGACGCAATATATAAAACTATTATCGTTATTAGCAAAACCAATAAGACATATGCAATAGATCTTTGCAGTCTTGATAGACGATTCCATCGCTGTAAGAATATTGTTGATTATTAAAATATTGTTTTAATTGTAGGTGTACTGTTTAACTGAGTTATATGTTCCATATCAAAGCAACTCTTTCATATAAAACATCCACTGAGTTTTGGCAACTTATGAGCAATATCAGTTAGACAGTATACCTATAATAAGCTTGTGAACAATAATTACAAATCTACTATAGCTGAATCATGTTAAACCACAAAATGCACTAACTAGATAAGCACAATCTTATGCCGCAGACCTTTATGCTTGCTAGGGTCAACAAACATGACAATCATTCACTTTGCAATAACACAATATAAAAACCCAATTAAAGAGTCGGAATAAATTCTCACTTATAAACAAGCATGTATAATAAACTATTGTACTAATCAACTGTTAAAATAATATCAACATAGACTGAAAATGCAGCTACAATAAAAATAATTTTATATTTAACACTGCAGTCATGAAAATAAAGTTACTAAACTACTAAACCTTCTGTTTTAATGCTTTTCTGATATTATTAAGCAGCATCTTAACAGTTCTTACTTGTCATAACAGACCATGCAGTGTTTAACAATGGTATAATATAGAAAAAATGCAATGGAAATGGGTAGTTATTTTAGCACACTGAAACTACTTATTAAATAAATCTATAAAATGGTGAATGTTGTAGATATTAAGATTATCTTACTCTTATAATTTTTCTATGAGATGCAGCTGGATCAATGAAGGCTAGAATATTCCATGTGTTATTAGTTGTAACATAAGGATGTGTTGTGAGGAGGCCCTCTTCGAAATATATATGCGTGTCTATAGGTAGCCCTTTCATTTTGAATAGTTTATCCCAATTTTCTGATTAAAATGGTGTCATTTTACACCTGTAAAGTATTTAATTTATCACTAACTTTTAGTTTAACAAGCAAGCAACTAGGTAGACATTAATCCTAAGAGATTGAGATGAATTCATGGGTTTATGTATATCAATTCCACTGTGACCTGTAGCCTAAGGGTTGAAATACACATACAAGTAGCTGGCATATTTCCATGCAAGTGGCTGGCATGATATGATTTAGTGACAGCTATAGGCTAAGTTGGAGTTGATGAGGGAAGTACAAAGCTTAACTTGCTTAGCTTGTTTTGAATGATCTTGTGAACATTTCTACTTGCATGTGTATCCATTGCACCAGTAGTTGGCATATTTCCATATTTCTTTTAAACTCAGTTTTATAGGGATCAGTGGGGCTTGTTAAATTATCAATTTCAGTTAATAGAAATTACCATCCAATGTATTTATTAATAAAGTTTCCCAATGATATAATATGTCTATATAGAGCAGACATTTCAAACACTTTCCTTAGCATTATTGTCAGTTGTGCTGTCTGTTACAGAATATTTAAAAGTTATCGAAGTTCATGTAACCGGAGGTCTCAATAGAATGGATATACAGATGTGATATCTAATGTATTATCTAGTGAAACTGAAATGACAAAGGTACCAACAACAGAGGGAGAGAATTTAGAAGTTGAATAGAACATCATGTTGTATTAGATAACCAGAACCGTACCAGTGGTAAATCCTTCGAGGATATGGTTTCATTTGGGAAAGTCCTCGCTATTGACATAATGTATATGTTAAATTTGTTCCCAACCAATGAGAATAATACCAATATTGAATCATGCCATTTCCAACAAAATGTGTTAATTACATTCTTTGTTACCATTAAAATCATGCTGAAGCTTGTGTTAGATGCCTCATGATAATAATTATCATATAGATTATATTCTGCTGAAACCATATATTATCCTAAACTACAAACCAATCATTTGAGATTTGTATCTAAACAATGCTATTATAATATTAACTTCAAACTTCCAATCATATCTTTACCTCAGCTTTTTTTTTTATTTTTAAGAATTACAATTAAGAAAATTGCCGGCTGAACAACACTTTTTATTGAAACAAATCCACGATTCAGTTATTTTATGTTAATAAATATTTAACCTACATATTCTTCTCGTTTTAGAATACGATTATGCAAAATAAGCACCTAGAAGTTTTGAAACATTCAAAAGTATATAATCCCGGTAAAGGTTGTTATTGTATGAATTACTATACATATATATTTATTGTCGTATCTCTGTAAATTAACAACACTTTTTAAATATACTTACATTCTGTTCATCGACGTGAAGATTAGGAATGGGCATTTTGTAAATGGACTACTGTTTTTAAATATATCCTTTCAAGTTAATTAAAATTTCCGAACTTTATATTAAATACAGTATAAGGAAACACTGAATCTAAACTTTTTAGATATAAAAAACTTTTAATACACTTAGTTTCAATGAAATAATCGTTATTGAATGAAGACGTATGAATAGTACAATGTATTGACGTGCAAATGTCATGTCACTAACCTCCAGGCCGGGCCTCGGCAATGCTCGGCCTCGCCAGCTCGCCAGTATTGAACGTAATTATTATTTACACAGGTAACACACACAAATACCAGCAACACTACAACTTTAAATATATAGGTCACCTGGGAGCCCGGCCAAGCCTAGATTATTTTACCTGTAATACCTAACAGCATCCTTATTGCACTTGCAATAAAAGCGACAAACTACTCGTTAAAACTGTATCCTATGCCCGGCAGTTGCAACCCTGCCCCTGCACAATCCAAAGTGTAGAAATAAAAACGAATTAAATGTTGCCATCTTAGGAAAAATAGGAAATTTACAAGAAAATAAAAGACATTTTGTACAATAACCCACTGTTCATATTTGGGCAGTACAGTAGTCAGTGGCGCGGCGCTACTAGCTACTAGCGTCCGATATCTGTACTGGTAATCATCTGGCGTAATGTGAACCGGCGAACCAGCGAGTCCAGGCAATCTATGACTGGCGACAACTGTACTGTACTGGCAAAGGAGACTCGGCATGAAGGACCGACATTGACCCTGTTATACTGACTTCTATAGGACAGACAGGCTTTAAGACGTGGTATTTAATGCCTATTTAATTTTTACTATTTTGACGCTGACGGTTGAAGATGGTTGGTGGCGAATTGGAATTAACAATAGAATTATAACTGCCAATTACATTAAGAGGTACTTTAAAATAGTACATAGACCTACAAGGATAATATGGCAATTTTTTAAACTAAGAATGTCACCTTGAAAGCGTCATATTATAGCAAATGAGGGGCAGCAACTGCTTAGGTGAATGTTGCTATTTTTATAATTTCAAATATGCCGAAATAATATTAAAATTTAAATTACTTGTTAATATATGTAATTAAGAAGTAGTTTTAGCTGTTGATATTGGGGCCACGAGTATGATGATACTAACTTACTGGTTAGTTTTGAACAACAAAGTTTAAAGTCTACCTCGTCTTTGATTGGAAAATAAGATGTACCAGTTTAAATACTTTTAGGGAAACACGGGTCATAAGTTTCAAAACTATAGCATATAGTTTGGTTTTGTTTTCAACGTGGAGAATTTCGACAGAAGATGGGAATTTTTTTCTTACTGGTAACTCTAAAAAGCAGAAGGCATCTTCTGTCAATGTCAAAAACTTCCTTAAGATTCCTGTAGATCTATAGATATCCTTGTTTGACTATACTTCACAACAAATAAAAAATTGTTGCAACTGGCCGACTTCAAAATTCATTGTTAAACTGTCAACAGCTTACTGTAAAATATATATTTTTGATTAAAATATTTTCTGTCACTGCAATTTATTACTATATTTTTAATTAATATTTGTATGCTTATTTTACTTAAACAATATTGAATTTATTACATTTCGTGGCATTTAATATCCGGCCCCAAATTCATGCCTCAATCAGAGTATTGGCCTTTGGCTAAAGTTAAAGCAGAAAATGTTCAGGGCTGTGGCGAATCATCTTTATTAGTATGTACCCTGTTTTAATAAATTTTTGTTGAAAGATAATTTTATGTAGATTATATCCATCTGATATACCTCATTCTAATATTATTAATGCGAAATTTTGAAAGGATGGATGGATGTAAAAACAACAAACGGTATGTATGCCTGCGTATCTTCAAATAGGCTTAACGGATCCTAACAATGTGTTTTATCTAAGTTTTTTAGTCCGCATAAAAGAACTCACGTGCAAAAGCTAGTATTTACATAAAATTGTTTGAATTTTCAGCCACTCCTGATCTAATTTAACATTTGAACGTACATATGTATCGAAGTGGTCTACAAAACCTCACTTATAAGCCATAAGCATACGTTATATTATTTAAAATTCACTTAATACCGATAAACTTCATTTTGGTCTTCTATTCTTAGGTATTACAAATAAAAGAAGTCTTCATATAATTTTTCTTCTCGATTTACAGCAAAAGCAGCTTGGGGCGATGGAAGGAGAGGTCAAAGAGATACAAATGGAATTGGCTGCAATTAAACGAGACAGATTAGATCTGCGTAACACGAAACGTCAGCCGATCTATGAAGTAAACATCTACATAATACCTACGTCTAATGCACATTTTTTTTATATAAAAAATATTAGTAGGTTTTTGTTATTTTAAAAAATTACCAGCACCCTAAATTCAAAATCTGATGTATTTTTCTCTGAACCAATTCAGTGCATTTTTAAAATTGTTGTTCGTCACACTGGACACTAACTAAAGGGTTAAAGGTCTTTGTCCAGATGTGAACATGAACTGGTGAATGTTGTATACAAAATGATGAACTAGTACTTGTTAAATCTGATTTTAATATTATTGCTTTCAAGGGACCTGACAACGTTATTGAAGATACTGTTTACATTAACACTGTTCAAGATAATGATTTTGTCAAATACGCGGAGGTAGATTGAAAACATTATCTTGCATATTTCACGCAATGTTACAAAATTGTTGGTTTTCATAATTATAAAATTTACAGATGTCTAAATTACGTGAAGACCTTATTAGAGCAAAGAATGCTGCAGATGAAGAGAGATTCAAACGACAGAAATACGAATCAAAACTAAAAGATTTAGAATTGAAACTCAATAATATTTGTACTACCGCGTTAGTTACAAGTAAAAAGGTATATCTTTTTTCTACTAACATGGGTTTCTAAAATATTTTGAAAATCAGATTTACTTGTTTAATCTAATGGCTATAGAACTATATTTGATTACTTTTTTATTACTGCCTTCTAAATTCCCATAAACAAGGTAGCGTCGCTGATGAAGCTCGGGGAGAGTGCTACCAGCATCCTGAAAACGATATCCTGTCACGTCATTGTGTTTGCACATCTCGCGGATTATGGTTTCGTTTCGTAGATGTTTTGTCATTTATTCATCTTTACTCAGTAAGCAACATAATATATATTGCATTCCAAATAAATGTGTTTTGATTTTTTCAATAATATTGTCAAGGAAAAGGAACCTCGTAAAATAGCCGATGACGAAATATCATGTCTGAAAACGCAAATTAGAGATGCTAAAGACGAGATCGAAGAAATGAGCATAACACTTTCCGAGAAGACCGAACAATTACAAGATTACAGATTAAAGGTAGGAAGTAAAAAATGCAAATAATAACACCTAAAATCTTATAGGAATTTTAAGTAAGGTTTTTAACATGCTAGCAAGTACACCATTTGACAGAGTGGTCATAAAATTTTGTTGGTATTTCCTAATTGTGTAACGAAGAAATAATACGAAATGATAAATAGAAGATAGCAAAGGAATAAATTCCTAGAGGTGGTAGTAGTTTATATATCTATAAATGTACTAATATGCGTAGTACAAACGCTGCGTAATAAGCCATACTCTCTTAATCTAGAGATATACGAGACTTAATCTCAATGATGCCTAAATACGCAGCAATAAGATTGCTAAAGGCGTTTAAATTATTAATATATTACAGTATCTCCAAGCACAACAACAAGTTGAAGAACTAAAAAGACAATTAGACTTATATGAATTCGACAACAAGCAAGTCTCTGATCAAATTCAAATTGAAATCCAGAAAATGAAGGTACTTCCTCAAAGTAATAACACATGGTTAAAAAATGTTGATAATGGATTGCTAGGAAATTATATCTAAATTTATTTCAGATGCAGTTTCAGGAAAAGTTACAAGAACTTGCTCCTTTGCCTGATCTGCTGAAAGGTTCACAAATGCAATTGCAAGAGGCAAAGCAGATGCAAAGGTTGGCGGAGGACAGTACGCAACAGTTATCTAGCGAACTAAACAGAGTGAAAGAAAAGGTGTGTCCTAAAGTCTTAACTTTTAAACGTACACGGTGAAAGACGAACAAATAAAGTGTACTACACTATAGTCAACTTTTAGTAGTTTCAATACAAGATGCTACAATAGGAGATAGAATAATAAAACAATAACTTAAAGATGAAACAAATTATGCACTTAACAGTGACCAAATTTAGCTTTTTAGGATTACAATTTTAAAACATGTTTTAGTTAGTTATGGCTGTCAACAATTTTAATCAAGAAAAAGCTGAAAAATACAAAATATTAGAAGAGAATACGGCAATGCGATTATCCATTGATGAGAAACAAAAAGAAATTTGTGACTTGACGCGGCAAGTTGATGAATTAAAGTAAGTACTAGAAAAATTAAAAACCGTATACTGCAACTATGTACCAATTTGGCGACCCTTTCGATCACTGATCGATCTATTTTTTATGTGTAGCAGTGGGCCAGCGTGGTTGACTAAGGGCTTGTCTCCTAAGTTAGGGTCTACTCTAACTTAAGGGAGTCTCCGAACTCAGTGGATATAATTAGCTAGTGATGGTGCTAATAGTATGTGTTATTAATTCTTTTCTAGATGCAATGTACTGAGACTGGAAGAGAAATTACTTCAAGAAGAAAGTATGTATGGCGAGAAATCACAGGAATGTGCAAAGCTACAAAAAGAGATTGAAGAAGTAAAGGACGAAAATAACAGATCAATAACACGCAGCAAAGAACGTTCGGAGTCTATGAGGCGATACATGCAGACACAAATATCTGAATTGGAACGTCAATTGGTGCAAAGCAGGGCACAAACTAGAGCTAGTCAAAAGGAACGTGATGAGGTAGTTGAACAAGTGCGGCGTATTTAATAGGACTTGCAAAAGTCTAGATGGATGGATGGATGTTAGTAAGACTTTGTAGCTTAAATTGCTGAACGGATCGCAATGAAATAGTAATAATGTATAATGGTATAGATATAGAGAATACTCTGGAAGAACATTTAAGCTAATTCTTTTAATGTTTTTTTCTGAATTTTAAATATTTTTAAAGTAGTATGTCATGAAGAGATAACTTCCGATCTAGTTGTGCATAACTCTTGCTAAAATGATTCTTCTTTGTTAATTATAGATACGTCAGCGAATGCAGGTTCAGATAAACAATCTTCACGAGAGTTT